TTTTTTGTACAGTAATATTGATATATAATATAATGCATATTGTTTATTTAGTAAATTCTAGTAGTTTAGAAATTTTGATATTTTTTTGTAAAATTTAAAAGAATAATTAAATAAATGTTACTACAACCAAAAATCTTTTTTTCAGTGTGGCTCACTGCATGTCTTACTTCAACTCTCACTGGATCACTGAATCTCTCACTACATTTTACTGCACCTCTTACTGCATGTCTCACTAAATGTCTCCCTGCATGACTTACTGCGTCTTACTGTATCTTTCACCTCATGGTTCACTGCACCTCTCACTGCTTTTCTAACTACGTCTCTCATTACATCTCTCTATATGTCTCATTGTATCTCTCTCTCACTGCATCTTTCAATCTGTTTCATCTCTCACTGCATTTCTCATTCCATTTCTCACTGTCTCACATCACATCTCACTACATCTTACTGCATTGACCCTATTTATTTTCTGTCTACTTTAGTTTGTGCTGTTAATCCCTTTTTATCGTCATGTTTTTTTCAGGCAGGTGTGTTTATTTCTGAAAAGGGGAGCCAGACAGAGTGACGGTGATGAAGATGGTCAGGACCCTCTAAGTATAGCTGTGCAACAGGCCAATGCAGATATCGTCACGCTGTATGTTGATCAGTAAAAACTGCAGATTYAACCCCATCCTCTGGTTCTGGTGTGTTCACAATGTTCTGTTCCTCTTTCGTCTCTTCCTCAGACTTCGTTTGGCCCGGATGAATGAGGAGATGCGGGAGTCAGAGGGACCCTTTGGACAACCAGGTCATTATCTAACCATCAGCCCCACTGAGCAGCAGTATAAGAGGTGCATTCAGGAGTTTATTTGTCTCCATATAACGGAACGCTAAAGTCCAGTCTGGGAGACAAATTTGGAACAACAGAATCCTCTTCTACTCTGTTGTCCTCTGATAACACCTCATCATTAATCGCTTTTAACTGGGTCAGAATGGATTAACTAAAAGATCAATCAGGTCCGTCAGATGGTTTTAGTTTGGCACGGATCAACAGACTGCAACAGAAAGGCTGAAATCAGTCCAATTCTGTTGTTCATTCCTTCAGGTTCAGGCCTTTACACCTACCATGTTATAAAGTTTGCTGGTTCCTCAGAACCAACAGGTTTAACTGGGTCTGAGCTGAACATGGATCATTCCAGCAGCTGTTGTCTCTGTGGTTTCTAGTCTCACAACCAGACTTTTGATTAATTTAGTTCAATGACAGTTCATTTATATAACAGTTACAAAGGCAGCTCAGGCTGTTGGACTTTAGACCAAAGAAAATCTTCAGTTTGATGTCAACCAGCAGCTTTTTATTTCCTTGTTAGAAGCAGGAGGTATATTATTTTTTCTTTAAAAGAAAGCTTCACTTTATGTGAGAACTAAACTTTATGACATTTATTTGCACATAATGAGAAGAAATTGATATTTTTAGCTGGTAGCTGAAATATTTTTTTCTGTAAATAGGAAAATGTACAGATTTAAATATTTTAAAGTTTGAAACTCTAACACAGGTGCAGCTGCTTAAAGGGCCAATATTATGTGTTTCTCAGGCATATATTTAAATACTATACCATAATAAAGTATCTATGTCACCTTTAGCTGTTATTAAAATGCTGTTTTTATGTTTAAATAGAAAATAAACTTATCTTCTCATCACTTCCTCTTCTAAACGCCTTGAAATTGGCCTCTGTCTCTTTAAGAACCACCTTCCACTTCTGTCCCGCCCATTTCAGTGCGGGGGTGGGGGTGTTGTTTCACGCGTGCGCTATGATGCAGTTTACTTGGCATCTGAAAATACATTTCCTCAAAGGTATTTTGAATCTGAAAAGGGCTTCACTGAGTGAGAAGTAGTGGAGCTCAGCAGACAGTTTCACTCGTTTACTTTGTTACTACAGAGAGGCTGCAGGAGTCATGGGCGGGATGAGTGGGGTGGGGA